TGTATGTGTGTGAATTTAATCTCCCTGATCCTTGACCAGAGAAAGAGTGTGCAAAACATGTCACTTGATATTATCAAATATTTGCTAGTACACCGAAGATCTGCCCTTGAGGATTTGCTCGTCACTAAACCAAACCAAGGACAAAACTTTGATGTTCTACATGGCGGTTTTGATAAGTTGTTGACTGGGAATCTACCAGAATTCTTTAAGTGGCTTGAAAGCTCGGAGAAGATTATTAACAAAGTACTGGAGCAGTGTGCTGCAATAATGTGGGTACAGTACATAGCTGGCTCGGCGAAATTTCCTGGTGTCAGGATAAAGGGGATGGAAAGTCGTCGGAAGAGAGAGATGGGGAGAAAATCACGAGATATGTCGAAGTTGGACCTAAAACACTGGGATCAGTTGAATGAGCGGAGATATGCGCTAGAAGTATTGCGTGATGCCATGTCTACTGAGCTTAGAGTTGTTAGACAAAACAAATATGGTTGGATACTTCATGCTGAGAGCGAGTGGCAAACTCATCTCCAGCAGCTTGTGCATGAGCGTGGAATATTCCCAATGCGTAAATCCAATGGTTCTGAAGATCCCGAATGGCAACTCTGTCCGATTGAAGGTCCGTTCAGAATGCGCAAAAAGCTTGAGCGATGTAAGCTAAAAATTGATAGCATGCAGAATGTTCTTGATGGAAAGTTGGAACTTGGAGAAATTGAGCTCCCCAAAGCCAAGAATGAAGACGTGCCAGTTATTTCTGACACGGATTCTGATCCAGCTTTCCTGCTCAGTGAACTTTATGATGAGTCGTTTTTGAAAGAGTCGGATGATTTTAAAGATGTCGCTTCTTCAAGAAATGGATGGAATGATGATAGAGCTAGCAGTACAAACGAAGCAAGTCTTCATTCTGCTCTTGACTTTGGTGGCAAATCTAGTACAGCATCTGTGCCAATAACAGACAACACCCAAGCAAAATCTGAGACTGGCTCTCCAAGACATTCATCTTCTGCTAAAATGGATGAAATTAAAGACCCGGAGGAAAAATCAGAGAAGGAACTGAATGATGATGGTGAGTATTTGATCAGACCATATCTGGAGCATCTTGAAAAGATTAGGTTCAGATACAACTGCGAGAGAGTTGTTGATCTCGACAAGCATGATGGAATCTTCTTAATAGGGGAGTTCTGTCTGTATGTGATAGAGAACTTTTATATTGACGATGATGGATGTATTTGTGAGAAGGAATGCGAAGATGAGTTATCTGTTATCGATCAAGCGTTGGGTGTGAAAAAAGATGTCTCTGGAAGCCTGGATTTCCAGTCTAAGTCTAGCACATCATGGACGACTGCAGTGAAAACGGGAGCTGTAGGGGGAAGAGCATGGGCATATGGTGGTGGTGCTTGGGGAAAAGAAAAAATGGGCACGACTGGTAACTTGCCGCATCCTTGGCGTATGTGGAAGCTTAATAGTGTTCATGAAATTTTAAAACGTGATTACCAGCTGCGTCCCGTTGCCATTGAGATATTTAGTATGGATGGATGTAATGATCTCCTCGTGTTCCACAAGAAAGAGAGGGAAGAAGTTTTCAAAAATCTGGTTGCCATGAATCTTCCAAGGAACAGCATGTACGGTATCATCGTTCTTTTCATCCCATTCCCTTATGTTCCTCGCTACTAATTTAACATAATGCATATGTTTCTTTTTTACATTATATCTCTTCACTTTTGTAATGTATATCTATCAGTATTTGCTCATGAGTAAGCATGGGATGGGTCTTCTTTAGAAAGCTTACTTCTCAAAGATTAGAATCTGTCTACATTGATCTGTGAAAGTGTTATTTATTCTGTTTATTTTTCCCAGGCTCGACACAACCATTTCAGGATCAGCAAAACAGGAAAGTAATGAGGGAAGCCGCCTTTTCAGATTAATGGCGAATTCATTCTCGAAAAGATGGCAAAATGGGGAAATCAGCAATTTCCATTACCTAATGCATCTCAATACCCTAGCAGGACGTGGATACAGTGATCTCACGCAGTATCCGGTATTTCCTTGGGTTCTCGCAGATTATGATAGTGAGACTCTCGATTTGTCAGATCCAAAAACATTCCGCAAGCTTCATAAACCAATGGGTTGCCAAACACCTGAAGGAGAAGAAGAATTTAGGAAACGGTTTGTGCTGTGCATCTTTAACTTTCAATAGTGCACGTTCCCTTGTGTTCTTCGTCATACATTTTTCATGATAAGTAGTCAAGGTTTCACGAAAGCATAATTCTTATCATGCATTCCTTTTTCCCTCCTCGATTTCAGATATGAGAGCTGGGATGATCCTGAGGTTCCAAAATTTCATTATGGTTCTCACTATTCAAGTGCTGGAATTGTTCTGTTTTACCTTATTCGCCTCCCACCGTTCAGTACTGAAAATCAGAAGCTGCAGGGCGGTCAGTTTGATCATGCTGATAGACTCTTCAATAGTATAAAAGAAACTTGGCTAAGTGCAGCTGGAAAGGGAAATACTTCAGATGTAAAAGAACTCATTCCTGAATTTTTCTACATGCCCGAGTTTTTAGAAAATAGGTTCAGCCTTGATTTGGGTGAAAAGCAGTCAGGAGAGAAGGTTTGTGCCAATTCCAGTTCTTTAATGGTGCTTGAATGTACTATTTTCCTTCCATGTAGTGTTGATATGGATTAGTTCTCCTGCGTAATTTCAGGTTGGTGATGTCTTTCTACCTCCGTGGGCTAGAGGTAGTGTTCGTGAGTTCATCCTCAAGCACAGAGAAGCGTTGGAGTCAGATTATGTCTCAGAGAATCTGCATCATTGGATAGATCTCATCTTTGGGTACAAACAGAGAGGAAAGGTACATTACGCTATACTTTTTCTCTTGCTTCTAGCCAAGTAGAATGCAGAAAATCAAACTATTGTCATGTTATTTAATCCTCCTTTATTGGAATGTTGTTTATTCCCAGGCTGCAGAAGAAGCTGTAAATGTTTTCTACCACTACACGTACGAGGGAAATGTTGATATTGATGCTGTTACCGACCCCGCAATGAAAGCTTCCATACTAGCGCAGATTAATCATTTTGGGCAGACTCCGAAGCAACTATTCCAGAAAGCTCATGTCAAAAGGAGAACAGACAGAAAAATCCCTCTCCACCCTCTGAAACATTCGACGCAACTAATTCCTCACGAGACACGCAAATGTTCATCTTCTATAAGCCAGATCATTACTTTCCACGACAAGGTGCTCGTTGCCGGGGCTAACTGCTTCCTGAAACCCAGTGGCTATACCAAATACATAACATGGGGTTTCCCAGACAGGAGCTTGAGATTTATGAGCTATGATCAGGACAAACTGCTATCAACTCATGAAAATCTCCATGAAAGCAACCAGATCCAGTGTGCTGGTGTTAGTCACGATGGACGCATTGTGGTCACTGGAGCAGAAGATGGTCTAGTTTGCGTGTGGAGAGTGAGCAAGGATGGACCCCGTGGTTCACGACGATTACGGTTAGAGAAAGCCCTATCTGCTCACACAGCTACAGTCACGTGTCTACGTGTAAGCCAACCGTACATGATGATTGCAAGTGGGTCTGATGACTGCACAGTTATAATATGGGATCTCAGTTCGTTGAGTTTTGTGAGGCAGCTCCCTAACTTCCCAGTTCCCATTACAGCAATCTATATAAATGACCTTACTGGAGAAATTGTAACTGCTGCTGGAACTGTCCTTGCGGTTTGGAGCATCAATGGCGATTGCCTCGCTGTGGCTAACACATCGCAGTTACCATCTGATTCGGTATTATCTGTAACGGGGTCGACATCTTCTGACTGGCTTGAAACAGCCTGGTATGTAACAGGTCATCAGAGTGGAGCAGTTAAAATATGGAGGATGATACATTGTACTGATCCGTTGAGTGCTGAGAGCAAAACAAGTAGTAGCAACAGAACAGGGGGGCTGAATCTGGGTGATCAAGTGCCGGAGTATAAGTTAATTCTACACAAGGTGTTGAAGTTCCATAAGCAACCGGTCACAGCTCTCCATCTCACGAGTGATCTTAAGCAGTTACTGAGCGGCGATTCAGCTGGACAGTTGCTTTCATGGACATTACCAGATGAGACATTAAGAGCTTCAATGAAACAGACATCATTGAAACAAGCTTCAATGAAACAGGCTTCATAGGTTTAGGAGGTAAAGCAGAGACCAGTCATTCCCCTTTGAGTTTCTTTGGCTAGAACCGGACAAGGGGACTTGAAGACAGGACTACATCGTAGGAAGCAGATCAAAGTGTTAGCTCTGTTGAATCTCTTACATCACTGGCTTGCAGGTTAAGAGGAAGAGAGGGAGGCGAGTCATTCTCGGTTAAGATCGCTGGTGAGTTTTGAAGATTGGGAAGGAGAAGAGGTTTGGTTTAAGAATTTGTGTAAATAGATGGGAAGTTTACAAGTTTTACAGGGGAGTGTGTGTAATACTGTGTACAGTATTGTATTTTTGCGGCGTTTCTTTTTTTCACTTTATATTGTTGTCTTCTTTCTTACAAACTCGTTGCAAATAGCAGAAGCAGGGCATATTAGTACTATTTGCAGCCCCCATCTGTATTTCATCAGATGCAATTTGTATTGTTTTAATAGTATGTAACCTCTGTATTTCTTCATTTTTGCTTCAATGTCAATGTGTATTTCTTTATCTTTTGCTTCACTGTGTAACTGTTTTTTTTTTCTTGATTATAATAGAGAGAAAAGTATGGTTTGTCAAATAAATTATAACGAGGCATATGAATTGGTTATATCCCAATTATTAATATGGGCTTATGAAACGTTGAGGCCCATTATAAATTTAGGCCGAACATTATATGTTATCCCAGTTGCATATCTCGCGCGTGTGTGTTAATTGTTTGGAGACTATCCAAACACTCATGCACCACATGCCTGAGGGTAAATATGTCATTTATGATTCCTATCTATATATAGACATGGGAAACGTTGATTATTATTGGCCTCAGAAAAATAACAAGAACCTGCAACGAGTTCTCTCCTTTGTTCTTCCTTCTTCCATAAGACTAATGATGAACACTAAGTTATCACTTTCTCAGAACAAGAGCATTGGTTTCACAGTCCGTTTCAACGACACACGCACTTGTTATGGACGTTCAAGCATTTCCGCAACTGTCAGCTCAAAGCCAGCCTACTCTGGAGAACTCAAGGTTGCAGAAGAGACAACAAGAAGGGAGCCATTGAATAACGAAGACAACTTCTTGTCAAAAATGGCGATTAATTATCTATCAAAGACTCTTCAAGACACGGCAGGTTTGTATTTCACATATATTCTTTGAATCTTCTTTACTTATTTAGTTCACATAAGATAGATGTAACTACTATTGAGGGAAACAAATGATAATTATTCTTCAGGGATGAGTAGTAGTAGCAGCAAAAGTACTGGTTATGATAGCTTAGTGGATACGGCAACTAGGGTTGCGGGTAACTTAGACATCAAGCAACAGCATGAGCTTGTTCTTGTCGCTTTGGACAGAGCATTTCCAGCAGTGATACTCTCCTTGGTAAGTACTTATGGATTTATAAGATCAAGTAGAACGAAAAATCAATAAATGTAACATTTTCTTGCTAAAACTACAGATCAAAATGCTTTTACCACCTTCAAAACAATCAAGAGAGATGTTCGCTCTATTCACCACAGTATTTTTCGCTTGGCTTGTTGGACCTTCAGAGGTAAGATATATAAACTGTTTCATTAACTCTAAATCCTGAACTTTGCCTTTCTTCTTAAGCTGTAATTAACAGAAGTATTTTAATTTCGGAATATTATTGAAAAGGTGAGGGAGACTGAGGTTAATGGAAGAAAAGAGAAGAGTATGGTGTTCATAGAGAAGTGCAGGTTAAGTGTAATCTCTCTATTTGGTCCCATCTGATTACTTAAATTCAGACAAAAATCAAAATCATTCTTCTATAAACAAAATCATTACATTACAGCAACCACCAGTTACAACACTAATTTCAATAGTGAGATTTGTCACTTAATCATGTCTTTTAACTGTTGTGTAATTTTACAGGTTTCTTGAGCAGACTAATTGTGTTGGTATGTGCACTCACCTTTGCAAAATCCCATCACAAATCTTCATCAAAAACTCACTTGGAATGCCTATCTACATGATGCCCGGTACTATTCCAAAATCTCTTTCTTTTTACTTTATAGTTGCAATCACTGAGACAAGAAGATTTGGGCATTCAATAAAACAGTTGAAATCAAACTTAATATATGGTGAAAAATAGTAGCCTGCCCTTCTCACCTGTGGAAGCTTATAAATATTATATTTGAAGGGTCCCATTGAGTCACCACTAAGGACACAATTAACTACAAGTAGACCCATTAAGTCTCCAAGATGTATAATGATGGGTGATCATTCTTTCTAAGAAGTCAATGATTTGACTTAAGACACAAGCAATCATTCCCTTTTGTAAATGTCACAACACTAATTAACATTTTTCTTGAGTGTTTCTCCACAGATTTTAATGATCTTAGCTGTAAGATGATGTTTGGTCAGGAGCCTCCAGAGATCAAAGATGATCCCGTAATGAAACAACCATGCTTTCAATTCTGTAAGAATCAAAACCTTTAGGCCAACAACATAACTTCTTAAGCAAAGCATTTGAGTATCTTTATCAATGACAACTCTGTTTTTGCAGGCAAATCAAACAGAAGCTATGGTGTGAAGCACTAGATCATGTACAAGGGACATTAAACATGATTGTGTAATCAAAACATATAGTATTTAAGTTTATCTTGTAAAGATAAATCAGAGATTACAATTACTTATAGAAGCAAACCTCACATATGCCCTAAGAACATCAAAACTGTTTGAGTTTGCAAAAAGAATAAGACAATTAATATATCTATAAGACCAAGATGAGTGTTAGACAAAAAACAAAAGCTGCACAACTCAAGAAGATATGCAGAATCAATATTGAGGTGTGTAAGAGTAATTAGGTTGGTTTTGGTTTTGTCTTATATTCATGTGTCCTTGTCTTCCTTCTCTTGAGAATTGTTCCCACATCATCTGTTCTTCCATCAACATTCTTTGTTTCTTCTCCATTTCATTCATCTGCACATATGATGGCGGCGCAACCACCAAGGAAGCTGAAAATGGATCCATCGGTACTACCGGCCCATTGCTGTTTCCATTGGCCGTTGCTGGTGCTGGAAGTGCCAACATCGTTGCTGTAATCATAGTAAATTCATGTCAGAATGCAAATGAAAACAGAGTAAACAGAGCAAAGTAATGTTTCTTTTTAAACCTGCTGGTCTTCCTGCAGAACCAAATGCCATACTGCTTGCACTTCCGCTGGCTCCATAAGCATTGGAGGTTTGCACAGCAGCGTTCACAGTACCGTGCTGATACATTCCGTTGAGAAGCAAAGTATCAAAGCCACCTCCGAGTTCAGTCTTTTGTCCTGATAACTTTGTAGCTGATTGCACCAAAGCTGTCTCCCAATCTGCTCCATCATCCTTAAACGCTTCCCATCCAGGACCAGACTCTGAACCCGAACCGCTCGCGTAAGGGCCATCGAATAAAGCCAATGCTAAGCTATCTCCAGCTTCTGCAGCATCATTGCCGTGTATATCCACAAGATCCAGCAAATCACCAACTTCTTCTTGTTTGTTCTCCTCTACTATCACTGGCTCCTCTGCTTCTTCCTCTGTTTTTTCGTCTTCCTCTTCTTTTGGTGGAGGTGCGGGTAAGGCCTTGATCGCATTCATATCTTCCTCCCCCTCCTTGTTTACTTCCTCTTCTTTCTCTTTATCATCATCTTCCTCATTAACAGATTTTGTGTTATTGTTCTCTTCTAAAGCGGTTTTGTCTCTTATAAACTCATCCATGAGCTCAAGCTTCTTCTGTGTGATCTTCTCTACCTCTGGATACTCTGAAGACCTAGCGATCCCCATGTTCTTACACCAGGAATAGAACTGATCTAGCTCTTCAAACTGTTTTGAGACACGGCAGAAAATGTCATAGATCTTGATCGAATCAGGAATGTCTAACTCCATGAATCGTTCGATCAAAACTCCCATTATCTCTGTTACATCATAGTATATCTGAAAACTCTCTTTTACTATCGGATACAAAGCCACAATCACAACCCTATTGTTCCTCGCGCTTCCTGTTATTCACATAACTTGATTTAAGTTGTATGTTTTGTACAATGTTCAAAAAATCGCTAGGTGGTAAAACTAGCTACTACACAGATTACTCTGGGCCAAGGCCAAGAGTAGAAGTTAATGAATATTGATATATATTTTATATTTATCTTAAATTTTTTAGTAGTTTTATGTCAAGTTATAAAATTATTTTAATTATAAAAATTAGATATACAAAAACAGTAGTTAGAAAAATTTATTATTTGATTAAATAGATTCAGATTAATTTATATTGATTGAGATAAATTTATATTAGTTTAGATCAATTTAACCCGATTTAGAATTGTTTAAATGGATTTTAATTGTATAAATCGGATTTTAAAAAAACTTGTTATGTCTCTATACTGATTACTGATTAACCATCTAACCGGGTATCTAGATCGATTTTTAGAACAATTCATTTTGTATTACCTGCTGGACGACAAGCCAAGAAACGATCAAGAAGTTGCTGCAAATGTTGTACTCTGGTGAAAACCTCCTCTGTTTTCATCTCTGAGATGGGCTGTGACCTAACCACTATAGCCGTGGAGGGTTCAGCCTCTGGCTTATCTTGCTTGTCTTCCACGACATCTCCGCCAACGCAGTAAACTCCACGTTTCCCATGTCTCGCTTGCATCCTCAAATCAAGCCTTTCGTCAAGATACAATGCGTAAGTCCTTACAAAAGCAGAGTAGTCCCATGAGTTTGACCTAGAAACATCTCTAAAATCAGACATGTTGAGAAGTCTTGTCCCACGGCGAGTAGCGAAGAAGATCTCTTGTTCATATGCCTTATCTCCTTCTGCTAAGAGACGTTGGATCAAGATCAAGGTTTTGAGAGCAACGGTCCAGCATTTGGTTTTGTTAAGGCGTCTAGAAAGCGTGTTGACGCATGCGTTGATGTAGTTGCGTGAGTAAGAAGTTAGGCTAAGAATCTCTCTTATGTATTTCTCTTCTGCTGGATACTCTTCGTGACGAGTGGCTTTGACGATGGCTACGTCAAGCTCTGATAAAGAAGTGCTACGACCGTTGACTTTGGCTAGACCGACGCTGGTTTGGTCCTTCACGGCTCCTATGGCTCGTTTAAGTTTACTCGAACTCATATTTTTTGTGATTTTATTATAAATGTAATTTAATTAAGAAAAAAAGGACAAAGAGATGAAGAGAGAAAAGAACGAGAGGATTGTTTTATTTTTGTTCTCGCTTCCTCTCTTCTCCTTTGTGATTTTTTGTTTGTTGTCTTCTTTGTGTATGTTGTTTTGTTTCGTCAATGTAGTCTCTTTGGTGTACGTACGTTGATTTTTACCATGCAAGTCGCCGAGGTTGTCGGAGACTTTGGCCGGTGTTCAGTAACGCCACGTGACCTTTTTAATTGGTAAACTGAAATTTAGTTTGTATTTACCATTAATGGGAAGGAGGAAATACTGATTATAGAGCCATTTTCGTTCATTTGATCTTGGTTTTTAGCCATGGTACAAATTACATTCACTATTTCGACATTGTCTTTACATAAATGAGGTTATATATGTGATTTATAATTAGAATTTGTACTATCAAATACATTGATGAGGGTATATATAGTATATGAGTGCTAGTTATAACGTAACATATATAGTGATTAATCCTATTAACATTCTTGATAAAAAAATTACATATGTATTCTAAAACTGCACTATTTGTATAAATATATCGATCTCCAAGCTAAAATGGTTTTCTTATAAATGTTGCCTAGAATATTCATTGTTTGTTGTATTGTTTATCCTGCAATTATAACTTTAATTAGGTGTTTTATCTTCACATGCGAGTTTATATTTTTTTAAAAACTCATTGTTTGTTCTGCAATTATAACTTCAATTTGTAGACTTTCATGTCGTAGTTTAAATTAAACTCTCACAAAATAATAGTATATCCTTTACATTTCTGCATAATAAATTTATATATTAAGAAGGGTTAAGAATCTATGATAGAGTTTTGACCAAAAAAAAAGAATCCATGATTTCAACGATAAAACTCATTTACCCCTAGCAAAACATCATTGGCTGTATTAACATTTATGTGTGACCCTCACATATAAACAAGCGGCTCTTCGAGTTTCCATGAAGCCAATTTACTATATATACATACCGCAAGGATCTTGAAATATATATATACGATCATGATTCATGAACAAGGAAAACAACTTTGTTTTTTTCATGCATGCAAAAGCATTCAAATAAGAACAAAACGTGTAAATTCTTTCAGTGTGTATGTGTGTGATACGTGGCTTATCTTGTCTTTGTGCATGGAATATTAAACAGCTTCGAGTATCTTTTCATTTCTCCGCATATACTCATAATTTCCTTGGATATTATTTCATAAATATTTTAGTATTGAAATAAAGTATAAACAGAAATACAATTCAGAAAATCTAGAAGACCAAAAAAAGCAAGTTGGGTCCAAGTCTAATCACTTCTTCATATCGAATATGTTCTTGGTAATATAAGCCTTCTATCTCTGTTGTTTGTATTAATCTAATGATAGTCTATGTCTTAGGGCTGAATGCTTTCAGTTTCTTTTATGGCATAGCTATTGCCTATTGATAAATTAAATGTTCATTGTTCGGATCATTCTTATCAGTTATGCCTGAAACCATTAGACTAATAAGCACATAATGACATGAACGTCCATAATCGTTTCGGCTATTATTATGTGATTATCAAGTAATTATTCTCTTTTCTTGTCGGCCGAATAATCCGAACGTAGAGAGGCAGCATCTTCTCCAGCTTGTACTATTTAAACAAAAATATGGCTCTTTTGTGGTCTTGATAGTATAATTCCATTTACAATGTATTCAGATTCTTTCTTCCAATAATTAATTAATATGAACTTCTTGAGAATCGAAAACGAGATAGAATATTTTGTTGATTGTGGTTCTTTCTCTCAACCTTTTCTCTCGTTATGTCACTTCAGTCATGTATAGTATAAGGAGATCCCGGTATAATTCCGGAAACAAAAATCCTCTATATATACTCTAAGGACTTCCCTTGGACCAGAATCAAACCAAATCTCATCATTACTTGCACCAATACATTTACACACACACACACAAACGTTCAGTAATATCAATGGAGAAGATATCACATTTGTTAGAAGACAAGCCAGTGGTGATATTCAGCATGACTTCATGTTGTATGAGCCATACGATCAAGTCTCTTATCTCTGGCTACGGTGCGAATCCAACGGTATACGAACTAGATGAGATGTCTAATGGATCGGAGATTGAACGAGCACTGGTTCAGCTTGGGTGCAACCCGACCGTGCCTGCTGTCTTTATAGGGCAACAACTCATAGGTGGTGCAAATCAGCTTATGTCTCTTCAAGTCAGGAACCAGTTAGGCTCGGTGCTCAGAAGAGCTGGAGCCATATGGATTTAAGAGGCGCCTTAATCGTAATTAAGCGCTTAATGTTCTTACTTATATGTTTTCTAGTATAGAGTATGATCAGCGTTTGAAGCATAATAAATAGTATTACTATAAAAGGTTAATGTCACTTTTTATAAAAGAAAAGTTACCTAAAATAAAGTAAAAATAATTCGATTTAATTCACTGGTGTAATGCAATAGCAATTGTTAAGAAACAAGATCGTATTTGCATAATAAGTATTTACCGGAGAACATATAATTATTTGGTATCATTTTGTATAACTTTTATTATGATTATAAATTCATAGTACTTTGTGTATTTGTGTGAAAAGTTGTTAAACTGGACCATGTCACTAATTTATTCAGTTATCTGGTTAAAGAAATTTGTAATTTCTAATGTCATACATTCACCTATTATTCAAGAGAAAAATAAGAAGTGTTTTATATATGAGGTTATGAATCAAACAACATATGAATATAGCGAAATTATTAACACAATGGAGTTCATATTACCTACACTTTAATAATTTCCCTAGAATTATGTATTTTTTTATTTTTTTTTGAGAACGAGTAATATGTTTTTGCAAGTTGAACATGCACATTTTATACAAGTCAATAGCAAAAAGCCAAAGACTGACAAAACACCATCGCTCACATTTTACAAAACACAACTATATGAAGCTATACATACAACACCCAATCAAACTCCCAACCCAAAAAAGAAATATATATATATATGATCGTTCACTATGCAAATAAATCAAAGTATTTAAATCAAGAAACAGAGTGTCGTCTTTTTCTCTGAAACAAGAAACGGCTCTCAGAAGTTGCCTTTCCCTTCAAGGAAGGTTTAAGACTAGCGAAGCTGAAAAGAGAATTGAATTTGCTTATTTTTTTAGCAAAAGACTTGAAAAGCTTAGTCCCTGGATTAGATTTGACCAGCTCTTGTTTTATAGAGATGTGATCTTTCTCTAAATCCGTTAATCTCATCCTCATCCTCGCAACTTCAAGCTTTAGCTCTCTGTTTTCTCTCCTCACCGACGCATAGTTATCTCTTGGAGATATCGCTCCACTTCCTTGTGGTCCAAGCCAACCAAACAAACAACCATAAATTTAGGTCAAACGAATTACACAAACTAGAGTGGCTATGAAGTAAAGTTACCTGCTCCACTTCCTCCACGTTGAGGAAACTGTTGACAGTTCCCACTAAACAGAAACTGAGTAGGACTAATGCTACTGCTCATTGCATTTCTAAGCCTAATCTGCTCAAAATACAACACTTGTACAGCCATTTGCACAGGTAACCTCTCGTTTTGCGCTGCATGGCTACAAGCTTCTTGTGATAGTTTCTGTGAATCTATCGTCTTACATAGACGGTAACGCTCTGACTCCTTTATATTCGGATGAACCTGTCATAAATAAACAATATATGAGTTTGGAAAATACATAAAGTTTTAGAAAGATTTAAAGAGTGTTTACTTTGAGATAGATGTCAACGGCTCGATAAAGACCATCACTGATGATACGAGCATGATCTGGTAAGAGCTCTGCTAATGCTATGAACTTTGACGTTGTTAGATTCGTATCCAAAGCTATCTCCGCTAGATAATTATCCATCAGCTTCGACACTTTCAAGATGGAGCTCTGTTTTGGACTGTCGAAATCGAAAATCATCTCTGTTTCATCTCCAAACCGGTTAAGATGATGTTGATCTTCCTCTTCATCGTCTTCTTCGTCTAGGTTTAAGAATATAGAGAAGATTCTCAAGATAGAATCAGTGTCGTACATCGTGTTGTTGACTCCGTTAGGGTTTGTTGGAATCAAAACATCTTCGAGGATGGCTTGGTCTAGTTGAAGACCGATCCTTCGCTCTAAATCCGATCTACATGATGATCCTGAAGAAGCAGAGGATGATGATGTAGCGATAACCATTTTGAGAAGACTTGAAAGGAACGCCATTGGAACAGAGCTTTTTCTTCCTTGTGTAGGAAGTAACCTAACGATTGTTTCTAGAATCAATCTCTGTTTCTTCTTAGATTCTGAATCAATAACCCTCTCTTTCTCAAGCTTTGTATCCCTAACAATGAGCCCTTGAAGTGACTTATTCGTGTAACTGATCAGAATCTTGCTGATCACGTCTTGTCTTAACCCTTTTGACCTAACAGCAGAGACAACTCTTTGGAAGTAATCAAGGTTCAAAACAGCTACTGACTTCCCCCACCAGTCTAATGGAGTCTCTGGTTCCATATTCGTACCCGAAAACGTATAATCGAGCTTTAGTAGACCTGAAGTAAGCTGCTCTTTGCAGGCATTGTTGGCTATAGATATGATTAAGCGATTCACCAAGTTGAGATCTTCAGAGACTGGGGTAAGGGCTTCACAGTGATGTAAAACGAGGATGGAGTTAGAGATACTTGGGAGGACTGTTTCTTTGAAGAAGTGTTCTGTTTTGATAGCGAGATTGTCTTCTGAAAACTCCTCAGTCATTTCTAAGTAATGAGATGCACAACGAAGCTTAGCTACGTTAAGAAGGTTGATCTCAATGTTGATTCCATAGCAGAACTTAGCTGCTAGCTCAAAAGCCTCAGATCCTCCGGGAACACTAGAGAGACAAATACTAGAGGTTTTCGAATCTGTAAGAAGCTTCCTGATCTTTCCACTCCGAGACACAAGAGGAAACTAAGGTAATGAAAATAAGTTGTTAAAACTATAACTCAAGAACAGAGGATTCTCTGTTTTGGTATAGATGCTCTGTTTTTAGGTTTTGTGTTTGCTTATTTTACCTTATGAAGACAGAAACTTGAAGATCCAACTTGAACTGTAAGATCACTAGAGACTTCAGATATTGGCCTGTAAGAACAGATAAACAAACCCATTAAGGTTCTGAGATTTTCAATAATGATTTGAGAATTTATTGAAGCAGAAGATCTGTGTGGACTTGAATTTGATGATCATGTAAGAACTGCTTGTGTCTTCCATGGCTCCAACGCTAAGATTCTAGGATAAGGAAACAGTAAATCTATCATCTAAAATAGTGTATGTTTTTCCTGGTTTTGAAGACAGTTTTGGGTTCACATGTAAAAGGTTATGTCAGCATCAAACTTTGTAAATGAAGACAGAAGTCACAGAACCAGATGAATGTTAACGTACGGATATGTTCCACATAGATACAAAATAAGATGTGAGAAAATTATTGGTTTTGATGAACAGTAAGAGACTTTGATAATAAATGACTTGTGGCTACAGCAGATTCACATCACATACAAAGATTTGGATCTTTTAGCTAAATTTTCATGAGAAAGAACAAATCTCTTAATTCTTTTTTTCTGACATGTTTTAAAAACCTAATCTGCGTCAAAAAAGCCAAGATGGGGATGCAGACAAAACAAGAATCATACTGGTTATTCAAACAGAGTTATATATATATATTACCAGTCAGAGGCATGTCTGATACTTGAATTCAGACGTCTCTTTCCTGTGAAAGTTGGCTTCAGTTCTCCAACTGTAGCAAGTCCCATCTCTCTATCTCCTCTATATCATTACAGAAGAAGAAGAGTAGTTGCGGTTGTGAATTGCAGGGAATGTACGTAGTTAATGACGCAAGAAGGTACACAAAAGAGTTTTGATAACTAAAGTTAATTAATATGTAAATTACGTGTAAAGATTAGGTCATTATTATCATAGATGAAATTAAGTTAGGGGGAAACAAATGCATGTACATATTAATTGCTAGTAGTGTCCTTTGATACATTTCAGTCTCATTATTGTATCTGTTTTCCTCTGGTTGATTTGATCCTATGGTACTCGTAATGATGACTTCTAATTTCATGATTATGTCCACTCTTGTTTGCCTTCAGTTTACGAATGAAAGTTTCATTTTACTTTCTCTGCTAGAAAGTTATTGAGAGCCAGTTTTAACAACAACAAAATTTATGAAACTTTTTTGCTGCTTAGTGTATATCTTATCTACTAATATGATAATATCCTATACTGGGGGTTTTTTTTTTTGGCAATGCATAATATTATTTATAAATGTATAAAGAGGATATGTATTGTGTCATGCAAATTATTTGGTGAGACCAACCTTTAAGCTCACTCTATGCTTTTTAGTTTTTGAATATGTATTGTTTAGGTGTGGTCCAAAAAAATGTAAGAGGCTTTCTTTGGTTATGGAAATTAAAGAAATAAAGAATTGAAAAGCTGTAGTGATTCCTAGTGATTACACCGATTGAGATTTACACCTGTTGATGTAATGATGTTAGGGTGATCGATTAATCTCGAGCCCCTCGAAAGATAATATATATAACTTTATGGTAATTATGATAAATTAATCTATGTTGGATTAGTCACAGTACAAATGTTAAGCTTTTGTGAGTTTGATTGTGTAAGGTTGACCAATAGATAAGTGGTACTAGAAATAACAGTTTACCAAACAAATACTAGTGAATTTATGTTACTAAACTGATTTATTAGATATCGTGTTTCTGAAAGAAAGAAAGATTTTAATGGTGAATAAATGAGAAAAATAAAATAAAACACATGAGAACAGTGAAAGGTTGGTTATGTCGGAATGTAAAGTAGTCTATCGAAAATGTAAGTTTACAAAAGCTGTGAATTGAAATGTAAAATAAAGGAAAAACCAAAAAAAAAAACAAATTTGTATGACGGCGCGTCAAGCTCCGAGCATCAATCATCTGATCCTCATCTTCCTCGGTTCGCGTTTTTTCTTTTGAGTTTCTTCTTCAAAGCTGAGTTTACCTCTTTTTGCTTATTCGATTTGAGTTTCCGTTGCGATGGTGGAGAGACGGAGGAGTCCTCTGGTTCTCTCATCCACCAGAGCTACACTCCGTTCTGTCCTTCAACCCGACCAGATTCCGGGCAGACCCGATTCGATACCGCGGACCGTAAAATTGACAGCTGGCATCCTCAAGTGGCGACGGGACGGAGTAAATGATTCAGATTCTTCAAAGTTTGATTCTTTTGATGACTCATCACTGGTTGGACTCTCCACTCAGATGCTCAAGAGACTTTCCATCAACTCTGGCTCTTTCGTAAGTCACTGAAAAAAAAAAGAAGGATGCTTTTATTGTTCTTTGATGTTAACATTTTGAGTATTTATTTATATTGCAAAGGTTGTTATCAACAACGTCGACATAGGGATTCAACGGCTTGCGCAAGTTGTTGTACTTGATCCTCCTCCTCCCAAGACGACGTCGTTGGAAGATGCATCATCTCTCACTAGCTTGGACTCTCTTCATACAATGCTTGTCTTTCCAACTTTTGATACGATGAGTCAACAGTTACTAAACCAAGAGGTTGCTTACTTGTCTCCTATGTTAGCCTTTAATCTGAGCTTGCACATGTCCTGCTTGAAGTCTCTAGTCCATAGAGGGGACAAGGTCTTAGAGAAGTATTTCGTTGCTAAATTCGATGAGGAGTTGGATGGGAATGAATCAAAGATTAGTTTGGATTTGGAGCCTGTTTCTGAAGTTCCAGCGTATGCATCACATCTGAGGGTTTCTTTCGTTAAGATACCTGAGTGTGGTACTATTCAGTCACTGGTAGTTAATTCTTCGTTTGAAGATGAAGAGAGACAAGGGTTGATAGATTCCGCTTTGCATAAGTATTTTGGTACTGATAGACAGCTGTCAAGAGGCGATGTGTTTCGAGTTTATATTGAGTGGAATTGTGGTTCAAGCATTTGTATTCCATGTAGTCAAGGGTTAGGCTCCAGGAGCGAGGGAGACTTTATCTATTTCAAGGTATGATTTTGTTGTCTTCTTCCGCCAGGATTTGGCCAGGATTTACTGAATTATAAGTTCATGTGCTCAGGTCGTCGCGATGGAACCTTCTAATGAGAGGTTTCTTAGAGTTAATCACTTCCAAACCGCTCTTGTACTTGGAGGAACGGTCTCTTCTGGTCTTCCACCGGATTTGCTTGTTTCTAGTTCAGAGGTTATTATGCCTTTGCAGGTGGACACAGTAAATGTATTGGCATCGGTGCTTTCCCCACCTCTCTGCCCATCAGCACTCTCCTCAAAACTCAGGGTTGCTGTTTTACTCCATGGCCTGCCAGGTACATTTGCTTCTGTTTTTACCGAACAAAGTTCTTCAGTTTAACATCTTGTCCTTAAGTGTTATGACCTTTTCTATAGAAAACAAATGTTAAGAAAAAGTATTTGCAAGAGAATGTATTTCTGTGATTCCAATCATAGTGATTTAGGGGAAGTCATATTTATGCTTTTTTCATACAAATGAATCACATGCTAATAGCTATTTTGTCTCTAATGCTTGTTACAAGGATGCGGGAAGAGAACTGTTGTTAACTATGTAGCTAGGAGGTTAGGCCTGCATGTAGTTGAATATAGCTGCCACAGTTTATTAGCATCATCCGAAAGGAAAACATCTACTGCTTTGGCCCAGACTTTTAATATGGCACGAAGGTAAATCATTACATCTATTTTTTTAATCCGTTCTTCAGATTTGTACTATGTATTGAAGCATGCTATCCTTTCTGCATTCAGTAAATGACTGTATTTTGTAAAGTTTATACCGTCGTAAAATATTGGTAATCACTAAACTCTTCTTTCTGGAACGTGGCCAATGCCTTGTTTTCATTGTCACAGGTACGCACCAACAATACTTCTGCTCCGCCATTTCGAAGTTTTTAAAAATCTGGGATCTCAGGATGGCTCACAGGGTGATCGAGTTGGCGTGGCCTCTGAGATTGCATCGATTATTAGGGAACTCACTGAGCCAGTTTCTAATGGTGAATACAGTTCCATGGAAGAAAACTCGAATAGCAACTCCGTAAGAATGGCCTTTCTTTCCTTGGCTGCACAGTTTCACACTCAAGTTCACTCTTCAGTTTACCAATCCTGTGTAGTTAAGCTCAAAAACTAATAATAATTTTTAATTTTTACACTTAAAAACATCTTCCCCTGATAAACAGAAAGATTTAAAAAAAAAAACTGACCGTAACAAGTAAAGAAGAGATTCTTTATTTCAAGAATCCATCCTCTCATGATATCTGTATCTGCTAATGCAGTCTGTAGATGAAGGTGGGAAGTTTAGGGGACACCAGGTGCTGTTAATCGCATCTTCTGAAAGCACTGAAGGTCTCTCTCCGACAATCAGGCGTTGCTTTAGCCATGAGATACGGATGGGTTCTCTAAATGACGAACAGAGATCCGAAATGCTGTCTCAGTCCCTCCAGGGTGTTTCTAAGCTTCTTAATGTATGTGAGTACAAATCTCTTAAGTTTATTTATAGTGAACAAAATTGAATTACCTAACATTGAGCCCTAAAAATGTACCAATCAAATAAGAGTCAGTTTATTCTTCTATAGTCAAACTATAGTTAAGAACATCAAGCTTGATGCACAGATACTGTTTTTGTAGACCAGCTCCGATGAATTTGTGAAAGACTTGGTTGGGCAGACTTCTGGTTTCCTCCCTCGGGACTTGCGTGCTCTTGTAGCTGACACTGGTGCCAACTTATTCATGAGTAAAGAGTCCGAAACTGAGAAGGTTAATTCTCTGTCGGGTGATCTTCTTGGAGTTAATGTAGACCACTCAAGACAATTAGGTAACAGCAGTGAGACACCAACAGCTAAGGATGACTTCACTAAAGCTTTGGACCGATCAAAGAAGAGAAATGCATCAGCCCTTGGTGCTCCTAAGGTAACATTACCTCAGTCTTTTTCTGGGGTGTTTTCTCATCTGCTATCTTGTTTATGAGATCGATTTGCATTGCATTCATAGGTTCCGAACGTGAAATGGGATGATGTTGGTGGGCTTGAGGATGTGAAGAGTTCGATATTGGACACAGTTCAGTTACCTCTCCTGCATAAAGATTTATTTTCATCTGGACTACGTAAACGTTCTGGTGTGCTTCTCTATGGCCCTCCAGGAACAGGGAAAGTGAGTAAAGCTGTTTTGCCTTCTGACTTTTAGCTACTGGTGGTATCTCTGTATCTGGTAGTTAAATTGATACCGTCTTCATTTAAATATGTAGACTTTACTGGCAAAAGCTGTGGCGACAGAATGTTCCTTAAACTTCCTCAGTGTAAAAGGTCCAGAGTTGATCAACATGTATATTGGCGAGTCAGAGAAAAATGTTCGAGATATATTCGAAAAGGTGTGTAATACTATATTCTTCTTCCCTTGAAGTAGCTTATTGAATCTATGGTCCCAATTCTCTTGAGTGATTGAACTGGTTTTGTGCAGGCGAGATCAGCAAGGCCGTGTGTGATCTTCTTTGATGAGCTTGATTCACTTGCTCCAGCACGAGGTGCATCTGGTGATTCAGGAGGAGTCATGGATCGAGTAGTCTCTCAGATGCTTGCAGAGATTGATGGACTAAGCGATTCTTCACAGGATCTGTTTATTATAGGAGCAAGCAACAGACCTGACCTGATTGATCCAGCTCTTCTACGACCTGGCAGATTCGACAAACTTCTTTATGTTGGAGTCAACGCTGATGCGTCTTATAGAGAAAGGTTTGTTTACACGATTTAAAACATTCAAAACACATATTTACACAGTCTCTTAGCCTTGTTTTTTTTTTTTAATTTACAGGGTACTAAAAGCACTTACTCGGAAATTTAAGTTAAGCGAAGATGTATCGCTTTATTCAGTAGCAAAGAAGTGTCCGTCAACGTTCACTGGCGCTGATATGTATGCATTGTGTGCTGATGCTTGGTTTCAGGCAGCTAAGCGAAAGGTGAGAGAGATAAAAGGTTAACGTTAACACACCTTAAAGACTGTATAAGCAAGCCTCTTACTGGATGCTTCCTTTGGCAAAATGCAGGTGTTGAATTCAGATTCAGGTGATGATTCTCTTCCAGAAGACGATCCAGACTCTGTTGTTGTAGAGTTTGTGGATTTTATAAAGGTACAACCTTCTTTTTCTTCATCCACTTTCAAACTCATTTGCATCAGACAAAGATATGGTTTTATCTGCAACTTGAGAAATTTCTCTACTTTGTCTGTGTAGGCGATGGATCAGCTTTCACCATCACTCTCCATAACTGAACTTAAGAAGTATGAGGCGCTTCGAGACCAATTCCAAGGCCGTTCCAACTAAAACTCCTCAGTCATGACACAGAGCTGAAACTTTTGTTTTATTTTATGATATGGACACAATAATAAACACATTAGCCTCTTTATTAAGGTGAACAGAGTCAAATCCTTATGAACATATGATTAGTTCTGTTATAGAAATTGGGTTTTGTTTACATATATGTTTGTGTTAATTTGTTTCCATAGTGCGGACAAATGGTTCAATCCAATGTAATTAATTTTAAAACTGAATTTGGGTGAGAATCCCAATGGTAAACGATTTGTTTTGGATTAGTAATAATACAAATCTGAGTTAGTGTCACGTTGTCAAAGAGGAATGTAATGTAATAACTAGCTTTGAGACTTGACCGACCAATTAAGATGCTGACATCATTATTGTCACGTGGAACATTGCTTTGTTTGTGCGAGCTTGTCCGAAAAATCCAGTTTGAGTTTTTTTTTTCCCTTTTCTTTTTAATTTTTTGTTCAAGAAAATAGAGACCAGAAAGAGAGAGAATGAGGAGGAATCAGAAAATGGATATTTGAATTTTCCAAAAAAGCAACGTTGTTCGATCTTTGCAAGTTTTTCAAATCTCTCTTGAGGAGGTGAGCTTCGCTATTCACTTCCAACGTTATTCAAATGGCTTTTAGCTTTTAGTTGAGAGAATTTTAGTTTTGTCCCAATCTCGATCTGGTTTTTTTTTTTTTTTTTTGAGATTTTGATCGGATTACATAGCATAGAAAGTTGTGTTTTTTTAGATGATTTCGGTGAGCAGCAGCGATGCTAGAAGCGAAATAGGGTTAGGGTTTGGTGGAATTGAGGAAGAAGATATGGAGATTGATGAAGATAGCGACTTTGGGGAGGAAGAAAGCACACATTCTTATGTTTCTTGCGTTGACCCTGACGTTGCTCTCTCTTATATTGTAAACACCTCTTTACCTCTTTTTGAGATACCTTTCTCAACTCTTTGTTAATTTCCAACCACTTAGAGAAAGAAACCTTTTTTGAATATTTGAAAAAAAGGATGAGAAGCTAGAGAACGTGTTAGGACATTTTCAAAAGGATTTTGAAGGTGGAGTCTCAGCTGAAAATTTAGGTAATGTTCCTTTCTTATATATATGCTACTTACCTTTTTTAACACTAATCTCTCATATATGTATTAGGTGCAAAGTATGGTGGCTATGGTTCGTTTTTATCTATGTATCAAAGATCTCCTGCTTGTAAGAGTCCACCACAAGTTCAAAACCAAGTGGTAAGACTCGCTCAATCTTTTAGAGGTTAAATGTTTAAAAATATTTTCTAAGAGTTGACCTATTGTTTATAGGTGGGTCAATCTAAGTGCTCAGCTTCACCTTCAAAAGCTCCCCCTCCTCCTCCTGCTTCTGATGTTCTGGTCAAGCTGAAAAACTTGGTCAAATCAAGTAATGATAGCAAACAAAAACCTGTCACCAAAACGTCTCCTTCTCCTTCTTCTTCTGCTCCATCGAATCATAAGACACTCAAACTCCGTATCAAAGTTGGTTCAAAAAGTGACCTCTCACTGAAAAACGTTTCAACCTATAATGGTAAACAAGGCACTCTCAATATGCCACCATCGACGTCTCGGGCTAATGGCATCTCAGAAGTTGAAGAAGGGTTACTGAATGGGTCGCCTACTAAGATTCTTATGGTGAGTATTTTTATCCTTTTTTGGTTTCTTTGTTCTCAGTGATAGAATGTGAGTTTGGTCTTGATGCATTTTATTTGTGTAGGCTATGGTGTCGTTCCCTTTGCATAAAGATCAGCTGTTATCACCTCTCTCTGATGATCTTATTCAGTTGGGAAAGAAAGGACACATCATGAAAGATGCTCAAACGTGTGTGAAGAAGGAAAATTTAGAGTATCATATTGTATCTGATACTGAAAAAGAGGCTGATAAACAGTCATGTGAGGAGCTTGTTACTGAGACTATGAAGCTTCCTCTCTTGTCCTGTCTATCACCGTCGTCTAACCACCGGTCTAAAGAGATTGATAAGATATCAGATTCTTATGTGGAGGGTACATTAAGAGGGATGAACAACACTGACCTAGATGCACCTTTGATGGTTTCAAAGCCTGACCTGGAAGATACTAATGTAGTAGCATTTTCAGATCGAAGTGTTGAGGGAACTGAAAGAGTTAACACAAGAAAAGACGTGGAAGAAGGTGAAGCACTAAACTCGCCGGAAAGTAAATCAAAGCGAGAGAAAGCTCCAGGTATTGAACATGTAGAAGACCCTTCTGTGGTAAAGTTTAGTAAGAGTGAGACAAAGAATGAAGAACAAACTTTGAAGTCAAAACTTCCTAAAGCACAGAAGTCACAAAAAAGTTCAAGCAGGAATAGTTTGAGAGGCAAGGATGCTGGTGTAGGTATAACTGACACGAATCCACCAGTTAAATTGCAAGAAGATACTGGATTATCCGAAGATGTGTTAGGAGGAATGAAGAATGTGGGAATGGAACCTGAAAGTGGGACTTGTAAGAAGCCAAAGACTGGAAAATCAAGATTTTCTGCTGTAGACCAACCTGGATCCAACAAAACTATGACTACTCAAGCCGCCTCAGCTCAAAAAGTAAAGGATATTGGTGAGCCTTCCCCTCGTGATGAACATGAAGACAGAAAGAGGAAACAGAAGGAGAATACAGAAAGTGGAGATTGTAGGAGAGAAGCCGCAGTAATGGAGTCAAGAAAGGAAAAGAGGCTTAAGGGTTCGAGTTTTGATAGGGACAGAGGAGTTAGTCAGGAAAATGGTAGAGATAGTGCTTCTCATCAACCTCTTACTATGTCCTCTCCAAGTTTATTATGTAAGGATTTGGGTTCTGAAATTATTGTCCAAGAAGCCAAAGGTTCTCTAGTTGAATCACTAGCTCCTTCAGCTTTAGACCCACGTGAGCTTAAATCAGAAAGAATTTCAGAGCGGGATAAACACCTTGATGCTGACTCTACTGCTGGTGATACGCGAAAAAGATGCCGAGAAGGTGAAGGTTATGTTACTATGGATAAACCAGGGACAACAAAGAAGGCTGCAGAAAGTTCCAAGGATTGTAATGAGCAGACCACACACTCGTGGGACAAAGAAAGAGCAGACGGTGAGAATTGTTCGACTGACAAATATATACCACAAAAGTCAGGGAGATATTCTGAGAGTATATCTCAACGAAAGAACAGAGAAGGGGGGTCATCTGCACCGTTGAAAGAGAATCAAAGGGGTGCAGCCAATGAAGTGCAAGATCTTGGCGCTGCTGTTCAAGTAAAAACAAAAGAAAGCAGAAGCAAGAAAAGACCTGCTAGAAAAGTGTCTATGGAGAGTAATAAAGAAGACTCAAGGGGACATCAAGATCCTATTAATAAGCTAGATTCAAATAGTACAGACCAAGTTGATGTCTTGAACCACGGCAGGGAGATATCAACTTCAAAGACAAAGGTAATGAGAACTGATAACCATGATGTTGGTTCGCGAAGTCGAAAGCTAAACGGAAGTACACGTAATGATCATGTTGGCTCAAGCCCTTTGAAAAAGGAATATACGAGTCAGGCTGCATCCAACTCAATCAAAGAGGCTACAGACTTGAAACACATAGCTGATCGTCTTAAGGTTTGGCATATTTATTGCAAAATGTTGTTTGCTGTCTCTCTCCACTGGCTTAACATAAGAGATTATCATTTTTTTTGCAGAATGCTGGGAACAATCACGAGAGCATTGGTTTTTACTTTCAGGCAGCGCTTAAGTTTCTTCATGGTGCCTCCCTTTTGGAGTCCTCTGGCACTGAGAATGCCACACATAAGAGCATTGCCACATCCAAGCATATCTATGGCAGCACAGCAAAACTTTGCAAGTAAGCTTTGGCATTCAGCAAATTTAAGCACTCCACTTTACTATCTATAGAGAGCCTTTCACTGTGATGGTACTTGTCCATGTTGCCATTGTTTGCCTAGTTTCTGCATTGTGGCCCATAGATATTTCTAGGATGTCAACTTGTGCAAATGTTCTATTTATTGAACCGAATCCTCATGTTATAAAAATTATACTGTTTATGTAACAGGTTCTGTGCTCATGAATATGAGAAAGATAAAGATATGGGGGCTGCTGCTTTGGCTTATAAATGTATGGAAGTGGCTTATCTAAGGATAACTTATTCCTCTCATGGAAACATAAACAGATACAAATCTGAGTTGGAATCATCTCTGCAAGTGATTCCTTCAGGTATATTTAGAAAAAAGAGAATAAAGAACCTAATATTTTAAAAATGTTAGGGGCTGATGAATTACTTTCCGTCTTGTTGTTGCGGGTTTCAAACAGGTGAATCTCCTTCCTTTGCTTCTGATGGTGAAAACCAAAACAAGACATTGGCAGCAGAGAAGGTTGCCTTGTCCACCCCTGTGAGGTCATCCCCTAAAGTAACCGGCAATCATGTTCTCACTTCAGGAAACAATTCCTCTCTTTCACAGCTTTTGACTTTTGTAAGTTCAGTTATTTTACTTCTGTGGTCTGGTGCCTTAAGAACCATTTAGTTTAGCGTTACAGAACCATATAAGCTGAACGAGTTAGTACCCAGTTGAGATAGTTTCTTGGTTGAAACTTGAGCAACATGAATTGGAATCATCTTCAAGTCTAGCATAATATTCATTACCACCATCATTAAAAAAAAAATATTGTGTGAACATTATCAGATGTTTGTGTAAGTAGCCTTGCAGCTAATGGATGTGCTCCTTAGATGATACATATAATTTTGGTATTGCAGTCGCAAAACGTAAGCCTTGCAATGGATGCATCGAGAAAAGCACAGACCGCGTTTGCAGTTGCAAAGGGAAAATGTTCAGACACCAGATACAGTAGTAATGGCATAACATCCATCAAAAGGGCTCTTGATTTCAGTTTTCAGGACATGGAGAAGCTGGTGCATGCGGTGAGGCTTGCAATGGAATCCATAAACCGGTGATCATATGAATTATGATCACACCTTGTACAAGTAACTTTAATTTCATAGGGGGGTGGGTCATACTCAGAGCGGAGAAAAGAAGAGAAGGGGAAAAGCCACGTTTGAGTTTTGCTTGGAAAATTGAAGACTTATTATAAACTTGTTTCACTGCGTAAGTGTATAGTGTTAGGACTTTATTTGTGAGAGACTTGACGAAGATTTAAAGTTTTATCGTCATGTGTTGTGCATATACAATATAGTATATTAGTATAAAAGAAGTAAAGAACTTTAGGAAGAGGTTAACAAGAACTAGAACTAAATTTACTCAACTTTTGTTTCTTTCTATTCGTTTCATCCATATTTTATGAGACAATAAGATTTGAATTATTTTTGTAAAGAACGACAGTAAAAGAGTAACTACCACATTTAATATCAGAAAAGTATTATTAATTTCGTCCGAAAAGAAAAACGAAAGAGAAGAATGTATTAAAGACAGAAAACTAAATAACTCTTTGACTAAGCGACATATTTGTAAGTGTTGGGATTTTCAGTATCCCTCTCCAAGAACTCTCTGCCGATCAAATCCTCAATCCGTTTCTTGATTACCTTTATATCAGGCTGCAAATTATACACAAAGACCATTAAGAAACATTCATATGAAACCAATGTGTGTGACTATAAGTTTTTTCGATTCTGTAATTTACCTTGAACATTCGACTAAGCTGCTCAATACATTCAGAGACCAACTGTTGATGAGAGAACACTTTTCTGCTCTTCATGATTCGCACAAGACAAGCATCAATAGCATAACGCCTATCGTTGTCAACATCTTCCACGACTCTCCTGCGATCATCGATTGGAGGAAGAGGCACCTGTTTCACCAAAAAAATCATGATTAGCTAGTCTTTTTTTTATTCATCTTAAACACACACACAATGATCTTATGAAAACATACCCTGATTCTCCGCAATTTATCTGTAAATTTTGAGTTGAATTCAAAAGAATCTGTTTTAGAGATGGTCTTTGTCGCTGGTTCCTTATTGAGAATCTTGTACTTGGAGCATGAGAGTGAATGAAGCACCCTTGCAAGATCTTCATGGCCAAGGTTTAGTTGTTCAAGGAGCTCTTGATAAGTTAATCTTTCTGTGTTGTTAAAAGCACAAAGTACAGCAGCCTGAAACCAAAAAAATATAACGCTAAAATCAAAAGTAAGAAAAAATAAAATATACAAAAAAATATATAACATTAAAATCAAAAGTAAGAAAAAGATAATACAAATACCTGGTAGGTAGAAACAATCAACTCAATAGGTTTTGAATCAAATCTACCATTGAGATGACAATTTCCCAGAGAATAAATCAACATAAGTTTCCTGTGCTTGGTTTTGGTTTCATAATAAGCCTTGAAAGACTCAATACAGCTGACCATCTCAAGTGGTAAATTGAGGTCTGATGTCTTGTAACTCGGCCAAAAACCAGTGGTGAGAACAGTGACCGTGAAATCCATACCTTTTGGTTTTCCACTGTTTCCTATATATGTGTCAAAGCCAGAGTGGTGCTCTTTTGCCAATTGCATATCCGTCAGCATTCCCTCCATTTTTGAAGTAAACTGCCCACCGAACTGTGCTTTGAGCTTTGTAAGTATAGTTCTTTCATGTTCGTCATTAAAGTTGCGATCCAATAATAGCCTACGTGCTAGCTTCTTCCTGCATGCACACAACAAGCCATTCTAAATACCAGTGCCGTTTCAAATAAAGTAGTTTTAACAATATGTAACAACATAGACTTGACGAATTCTTTTACAATTATTTTAATTTTTAGATTAAAACCCCTCTTCAAGAGAGACTCTACGTACTAACTACTATCTTGAATAAATGCATTAGCCGAAGCAATATGATTTAAAGATTAAATTTGCTGGCAGAATCGAACCTAATATAACTAGCCACCACTGAGTCATCTTTATCAAGAAAAAAAATATGATTTAAAGACGAGTGTACCTATAAAACTCGGCGAAATGATCCTTGTCACTTATGTAGTCAAGCAACTTAACAACCTGTAATCATTGAAAAGACTATTAGCATCAACTCAACATATCACGAAAGAAAAATAAAAGGAAAAGAAGTCTTACATTTTCAATGGTAGACTCAATAGTAGACTCATCATTAGATTTGTCATTCAATGACTTCTTGAAAAAATTGTCACAAAACATTGCAAGTAACTCTGCACTTGATATTCCAGCCACTTTCTTGTTACAAAAGATCTCAAAGGCTTGTTTCAACGCCTTATAGAAGAGTGTGTGGTTCTGAAAACACTCAGTGACATATACCATGTACTTATGGTGCAAGTCGATGATCCTTCTGATAACATCCTGTTCCACCACGTTATTATTAGTAGCTTTGTCTTCGGCTTGTCTGATAAGAGTGTTACCTTCTGAAGTAACATGAAGCCTAAAGGCTTCAGAAACAGGTTCCAAACCTTTGGGGATGGCATGGTACAGCCTGTACATCCTAGCGAGATCATCCGTCTTGTCATCTCTCAGCAATGCGCTGCAACCAGAGTCCTCCATTTCTAGAAGGTCTTTTGCAACCGAAACCAACAAAACGTCTTGCACACCCTTAATTAGTTTAGGCTCGGTGTCTGAATGAAGGTAGTGAGTGACTCTCTCCTTCTCCTTCTTTAAAGACTCCTCAGCCTTGATCATGTACTCAGGGCAAGTATCCGCTTGGATCCAGCTTGAGGCCTTGCGGGAATAGTAAGAAGTGGTTTCTTCAAGAAAGAACTTCTCAAAATCATTTTCATACCTATCCATACTTTCCATCCCATTCTGAACAAAGAGATCTAACACATTCTTCAATAGTGCCCTATCAATCTGTTGGTCCTCTCGCTCTTTATGAATCTGAAAAATACAAAACCGTGTTAGATCTATACATCATCATCAGAGTCGTGTATATACATGTACTTACCAATGCTATAATAACTTGTTTGGCATTGAAGTGAATGCTTTCGTAAACATGATCGCGGAAACAGGTCATGCCAGCTTTATTTAGGTTTGGAAGGTTTGCCCGTGCAGTGTAGAAACGGTCAAGGTAGAAGAAGAAGTGGGATAGCCACTTAACCATAATCTTATTAATATCCCACCTTTGAGAAAACTCTCTCAGCATGTATTCATCATGCTTCTCCATGATAGAGGGCAACACCTAACCACACACACACACACACAATTGTATATTTGTTAAATCCTAAATAGAAGAAAACCCAAATTAATTTTTTTTTTTAAAGTGGGGTCGATCGATATACTCACGGTTTGCTTGGCATATTCTTCAAATATGCCACGAAACTTGTTGTAAAGTTGATCAGAGTAATTTTCAGGTGGTTTCTGGGTGCACATATCGTAAATTGTAGTGTAGTTTTTCATATATTGTTCAGTCACAAAGGCTGTTTCAGGCTTTCCTTCAAGAATCCTTTTGAGCTTTGTAACACTCTCATCGATGATGGAAGATCCATCCTCCCAGAAAATAATAGGCCGGTCGATTCTTCCAAAAACCATTCTTAATCAAATTCTACAATTAAAAGTAATGGAAAACGATAATTTTAGCATTCAAAACCTAATCTTATATAGAACCCTAAAGAATCAAAAGATAAACTATGAAGAAGAAAAGCTAACACACAACAACATAAACGAGAAACATGAACAGAAGAAATCATATAGGAAAGAGTAGAGACGAGTACGAGATCTAGACAGGTATGTATGAAAAAGAGTAAAACCCTAATTGTTGTCGTTACCTACTAGGTTTGTGAGAGGTATGCGAGAGAGAGGTTTGAGAATAGATTGTGTGAAGAGATATGTATTTATAGTGGCATAAGGCGGTGAAGAATTTATGGCATAAGGCGTTGAAGAGCTAATATTAATTGCTTTTTTATTTTATTATTTTAAAAAAGTAAACCTTATCAATTAAGATTTTTAAGGAAATAAAAATCTGGAACTTTATTATGATCTTATCTTATTATACAAATTTTGATTTTTCAAATCTTCAAATTAATATGATGTGACACATATTAATTATGTATTTAAAATTGTCACATATGTTAAACAATCTCATAATTAAAATATATATATTTATATAATAATAATAAAAAACGAGTTTAAAAGGTTTAGTTTTTCAAATTTGCTAATTAATATGATGTGACATATGCCAATTATATATTTTAAATTGACATTTGTTAAACGATCTCATAATTAAAATATATATATTTAGATAATAATAAAAATGAGTTTTGTTAAAACAATTAATTATAAATATTATTTAATACTAATTTTAAATTTTTAAAATTTTAAGCAAAGGATAATTGAAAAAAAAAAACATTTGAAAGTAATTTTTCTTTTAATATTGTGACATGTGTTAAAATATCTCACGAATAATAATATATATACTAAGATAATAAAAAAAATTATAAAAAAATTGAACTGTAAAGAAAGGTAAAGAGTGCTCAATTGTTGCTTTCCATTTTACAAAGCTTAAACAAATAAAAAGAAACAATTAAGATCATAGAAAACTAAATTCGGAAAAAAAAGAATAAACATTATTTAATATTATTTTTCTTTTAATATTATTACATGTATTAAAATATCTCATGATTAAAAAAAATATATATATATATAATAAGATAATAAAAATGAATTTTGAAAAGGTATTAATAAATTGTAGCGGTAAAAAGTAAAGACTAGTTAATTGTAGTTTTTCTTTATACAAATCCTAATAAAAAAGAATTAAGATAATAAATATGAATTTTTCAAAAGTAATTTTAAAAATTATTTAACAGTGATAAAAAAGGTAAAGAATGTCTAATTGTAGTTTCCCTTTTTTAAATTCTTAAAAAAAGGAAACAAAGACTTGTAAAATATTTCATTTAATACTAATTGTTTTCTAAAATACTAAAGAAGATATAATTTTAGAAAAGTATTTGATGCTAATTTTCTTTTTCTAAAATATTAAACATTAAGATTGTAAAAGAGTGTTTAATATTAGTTTTTCTTATTTTTTCAAATCCTACACAAGAAATTCCAAAGAAATTTTAAATCGACGAGAATAACTTTACAGTGAAACAAGGTTACTAATAAATTCCAAAGAAAACTAAAACAAAACGTTATTCCTAGAATAAATTTCACATTAACAGAGTAAGATGTCCTTTCAAACTGAAAAGATGTCAATTTTTTATACGAATTTGCTATACAATAACTATCAACAAGAATCAAATTTAACTTTTAAACAAAATTGATCTATATTGCTAAATCTGGTTTTTTCTCACGGACAATTGTGCGTCGCCTTATCAAAAATCATTATAACTACATAACTTCAAAGTCTTAAAATAAACACAAAATATAATGACAACAGTGTTCTACAAAGTATTGTATATCAAGAAGTTTTTAATAATATATGATATATAAAAAGAAAGGTTAAAGTTACATAATCAATGCTAAAGTAAACAAATTTGATGTTTATCTAGCAATATATTTGATATTTAGCTGACTAACAATAATACATATCGATTGATGCCGTGTACTATTAATATCTTGAATTGTGTTATTTTTAATTTTTCTTAAACAATATAAAAAATATAGGGAGTTGATACCAGTTATATACATTTCAATTAACTACAACTAATGTTATCTAGAAAAGTAATTACAAATGAAGTATTTATTAAAAAAAAACTATTGTAAAACACCATAATTGTTGTAGGTTTTTTTTTGTTTTGATTTGAATGTTGAGAGTTTAATTGGCAATTTACTACTAAACAACAGGTGCCGATGCCGAACACCAGTTCACTATGAACATTAGTACCATAATTTACAAAAGAAATAAAAAAAAGTTTCTCAACATTTGAGATAGTTTATAAATCTCAACCTCTAATCCTATCAAACATGGGATGCTCCATTACTTCTCTAGCAGAAGGACGACGCGTTGGATCACGATCCATCATTGTCTGTTTTTGTTAAAAAGAACACGTTAGAAATTGTGTATGTTAAATGTTCCATGAAACACAGAGATAAGAAAGCAAAAAAATGTACCTTAAGTAGTTGCTGTAATTGTAACGAATGACCAGGAAGGAGAGGAAGTTTGCCTTCTTTGATATTGAGGGATTGGTTTCTTGATTCTGTGAGAGGAGATCCTCTTATCATCTCGTAGACCGTGACACCTAAGGAGAAGATATCCACTTTATCAAGGTGCTCGTAGTTTTCGTTTAGTATTTCTTGAGGCATGTAACGTGCATCTCCTTCCTCTACTGGCAAGCTTTTGTCCAACCGCGTTGCACAACCAAAGTCGCCGAGCTTGCAGACACCGTTCTTTATGTATATGTTGTCGGGCTTTACATCTAAATGAGCTATTCCTTTCTCATGCACGAACTGTAACGCCTTAGCTATCTGTAACAGAGAATGGTTGGTACGGTTAATAATAATTCTCATGAATGAAGAAACTCTCAGTTATTGTGGAAGTGTGTACCTGATGCATAATCACCAAAATCTCTCTCTCTGAGATCTTAAGCGAAGATTTCTTGGACAAGCTGTGATCGCAGAGTTCCAATTGAATGTATAACTGTTCGTTTTCAAACCACGAGTTGTAGTATCCTACCACGTTTTCATGGAATCCTACAAACAAAAGAAAGATAGAAACTGTTTAAGGTCACGCTGACCATAAGCTTGCCAAGAGCAAACCACTGAAAAAAAAAGTTGAGGAGAAGAAGGCAAAAACAAGGGACTGTACTGACCTAGAGCAGCAAGAGCTTGAACTTCCATCATAGCTTTACGCCTGCAATGAACTCGGTTATGATTACTTGAATAAAATTTGTCTAAACAAGTTGAACTATTTATAATACAAAGTATAATCATTCCTTTTACTAAGAAAAGTAGTGGAGAAATTAACCTCTCTGAATCAAGATACAGCTTCTTAGTGCATTTGACAGCATACAAGCAACCATCAATTCTCTGCAACACTTTAAATACACGGCTGAAATTCCCAACACCTATTTGCTGGAGAAACCAAACCAAACGAAACCAAATTATGATAGAATTAGAAGGAAGCAGTTGCATAGTTCCATCCATCACTTTTAGTAGGGGTTTTCGCTTACCTGGATTTCATGAAAGTCTGTGAGATATCTCGACAAACCACCCCCACCAATACTTGTAGGGAGAAAACCTGCATAACAGAAACATTTTTTTACTGAAGAACCGTCATAATTCTCAAGGCTATTAACAGAAAACCGATTGGTAAAAATAACTCACTAGCACATTTAGACCTCTGATATCGGAAAGGGTCAGTAGCAATCTCTGAGTCATTCATCAGATATGGATTTTTGAGGCAAGGAGGTGGCATAACACGAGACCTCAGAGCAACTGCAGTCTGTGAAACGTATCCACCCTTCTCCGTTTGATTGGCTTGAATCTTCTCATCCACCATGATCTCATCATTCTCTTGTTCATCTACTCTATGATTTGAAGTCCAAGTAGAGGTTGGAGTTCTCGCTGTGAAACTGTCTGCATAAAAACATTAAAAAAGTTGGTGAAATAACACATCACCAAACCATCATATATCTAGTTTAATACTTGAGTGAAGACATAAACTTTGAAATTTTTTGATAAAAACAGAAGCAATTGTAGCGCAAAACAGTCAAAAGCAAATTTAATTCGAAAAAGACAACATAATGTGTTGGTATGTTTGGGAGAAAGGGTGGAAAGAAAAAGCGCTTACCCTGGCGGCATCTTTTGCTTTTAACTGTATTAAGCTTAACAGGAGACCTAGGACAAGGAGATTGATCCTACAAAAGAGAAATATTATTATGAAAACGGAGAGATATTGGAAAAAAAAAAAAAACACTATAGCATGTGTCTCTGAGTTCACCTTGTTGCTGTCTAAACCGCTCATCAAGTTCTGATTGTCCGGTGTTATATAGTCAGGTGTGCTTCAAGATTCAATCCCCAAACAAAAAAACAAAAACAAAAAGACTTTTTATCAGCAGCTGAGCTAATTATTAATAAGTCACATAATAGTATATGAATCTGGTAAACTAAGAGCATACAAAGATGTAAAAAGACGGAAATGTCCTCAAATCTACAGAGACAAGTTGAAAGATTGAACAAAGCTTTAATATCGATATTTACGAATCCAATCGAAGTCTGAGCACAGCTAACTGGAGTGAAGGAAGATTTTTATATTATTTACCAGAAGAAGTCTTGGCTGAGAATGAATGACTTCTCCCCGCCGCAATCTCCATCTCCATCAACGCAAGCAGTACCCAACTCTTTCCGGAGCTCCGAGGAAGGACGGTTATCGAACTGAAGCAGAGAGAAAGTCCCTTCCATCTCACGGCTCTTCTTCGTTCTTCTCGTATCGATCTCCGCCCCTAGGGTTTTCCTCTTCCCCATCACCCTTCCTCCTCCTTTCTTCTCCAACATGATAGATTTTTATTTTTAATTGATTTTTTTTTTCTGGGGTAGATGGAAATGTAAATTAATTAATTTTAAATTTTGCGCGCTCGTTTAGTATTGGGGATAATCAATTGCAGCAATGACTACGGTGTACATCTTCTACTAACGATTTACGGCCGTCCGATATTCCGTCTGGTAGCTTTTCTTCAGATATTAGGTGGACGAGCGTATCATGTAAGCTTTGGGCTCGGGCCTAACATTTTCTTAAATATTGCACCTTTTTTTAGAAAAATAAATCATTTACTAGTATTGTTTTCCTTAATTATAATAAGATTGCATTTCCTTTTATATGTGTTTGACTGTATTTCCAAATTAATATTTAGAAAAAAAAAGGAATTTAAACTATTTTCATTTAAAGGAGTTTGCATTTCCTACTGGTCAACAAATATATTTATGTCATCCAAAATTTATGTTTCTTGGGTGCTTTAAAAGAAAGATTGTTAAAACTGAGAGATTGTGATATTAATTTCTAATTAATTCTTAAACATAGAATATAGAAAAACAAATTACTAAATATATGAAGAGTTTAATTTATCGGGTCAATAAAAGTTCAATTACAAGAATTTGCATTCCATATACACAACTAATACGCTATTTACACTTCCTACCTTATTTCTCTCAGTTTTTGTTCCCCTATCATCAATATTTCTCAACAAACTTAAGGTATTCAACATCTTTTAATATTTTGAGCAAATTGACTCATCCAAGTAATCGTTATTACCTGAAAAAAAGACTGAGAAGTTCTTCTCTGCGGTGCTGTCCATTTTAAGGAAATCACAAGAAGAGTTCTCCCAGATGATTGTCAAAGAAGATATTCTCGGTTTTGATCAAACTGATCGAGGATATGTGTTTATTCCAGTAATTAAATAACTATCCTGATACTTGCCTCCTCTCAATCCTGATACACTTTTGTGTGTGCATATAGGTATTACAAGTCACATAAATTAATCTGGTTATACCATCATTCATCAATAGCCTCATAAGCATTTTTTAACATATAAAGTTTTAGCTTTCTTTGAGACTAGCTACATACAAAGCTTAGATTATCTTGAACGAAATGTATATTGATTTCAATATGCTTTATACCAAATGTTCAACTAGTTTTAGTAATGGATGAACTCTTTGTTGGTTTAATTCTTTTCTTGAGCTTTGGTTAATCTCAAGATAAAGTATAGTTATATATTTCATTGGAACAATTCATCCCTTGATACACAAGAAAGGTGGGACTCTTTCAGGTAAAAGTAAAATGTTCATCGCTTTTGTATTGCAAAAGAAGAACATATAACTTTTAACTTAAGTGTATATATATAGATGTATAACTAATTGATGAGATCATACAAGTCGTTTCTTGATGGATTGGACTAAGAAGGTGTCCAGGCTTATGCCAAACTGGAAGCGTGAAGTAGAATTAAGAAATCTCGGTAAGATATGGTTTCACCGTTTCTATGATTATTCTTCAGAACGCTAATTAATGTTCTAAGAATTAATATGGACTTTTATTAAACAGGTTACAAGGTTCATGGCAATCCTTTCTCAACCAACACAAGGCGTGTTCTCGCTGTGCTCCTTGAGAAAGGGCTCTCTTACGAGGCCATTACCGTCGATTTAAAATCCGGTGAACACAAGACGGAGTCTTTCCT